TCTGTATGTATACCAGGACCATCCTGTTTGGATGTCCTGGCTGGACTACCCTACACTACTTGGGGACGTAGAGATCTCCATTGGACGCACATTGGATGGTCCAGGTATATTGTAATATATTGGAATATATACCAACACCACGGAAGGATGCTTTATAGCCCATTGTTCTCTATGTTCCTTCCAAGCACCCTCTTCCGTGGTGCCGGTAGATCTATGCAGACCTTGGAAGCCGAACCGCCCCAAATCAGACACCGAACCGATCCAGAGGCGCTCGACTTAGATCCGGGGTCGACTTAGACAGCGATGGTAGGTGGATTGGTATCAAGAACCAAGAGCCCAGTTGTTGGCAATCTGAGGAATGGAATCCATAGCATGAGACAGCTTGAGCGGGGTGATCTTCGGAGCCTGAGAGTCTTGAGTTTTTCTGCTCTCTTTGACCAGACATTGGAAGGCGTTCTTTTGCCCAGAGATCTGCAGAGTCTCACATTTGGCCAACAATTCAATAAGAGCCTGGAAGGCGTCAAGCTGCCGAGTCTTTTGCAGAACTTGTCTTTTGGGGAATTCTTCAACCAGAGCTTGGAGAAGGTGAATCTTCCACCCAAGCTCAAGAGTTTGAGATTTGGAACCTGGTTCAACCAGAGCTTGGAGAAAGTCACTTTACCTGTCAACCTTGAGCAGTTGGTATTTGGGAACAGTTTTAACCAGCGATTGGAAGGGCTTGCGTGGCCGGGGAGTCTTGAGAGCTTGACGTTTGGTGCAGAGTTCAACCAGAGTTTAGAGCATGCCACTTTGCCCAACAGCCTCTTGCCGATGTTAAGCCAATCAAGCAAGCCTAATGCTGTAGCTAATGCTGTAGAGCCCCTCACTCTGAGAAAGGCGCTTTGTTTTCTAAGGAGGAAGGCGCTTCCGTCACGTCTTTCATAACTTTTTTGGTCATCCTTCAAGGCCTGAGGACGTTGAGCATGGGGCATTCCTTCAGCCACAGCTTGGATCGGGTGAATTTGCCCTGTAGCCTTATTAGCCTGACGTTGGGCTACCGCTTCCAGTTCTATCAGAGTTTAGAGCGCGTGGCGTGGCCCAGACACTCGCAGTCTTTGACCTTTGGACAAGCCTCGTGGGCACTCAATCAAAGAAACATGCTGCCTCTTGGAAGTGTTGCAGGTAGGCTGTGCGGTGTCGTGTTTTTTGGTTGAAGGCATCGCTTGTCAAATACTCCCACAAACAGGACCTTTGCCACGAATCTCAAAGCATACTCTTGATATCTCTTGATGATGGCCTTCCGTTGTTCACATCTTCACAACCTGTGGGAAAGACTGTGCCAATACTTTGCAGGCCCTTTCTTTGACAATCAAGGTGTTTCACCCCCACACCCCCAACATCCCTGGCCTCAACAACTCTTCAGCGTTGTTTTTTTCGACCAAGCAACATCATAAGATCAGCAAAGTCTAAGGCCTCCAAGCAACATTGTGAGTTTGACCATTGCAGTGGGCCCTGAGGGAGGCTCTGAGGCGCAGCAAGAACCTGAGGAGGAACCTGCAAGGCCTGGTTCGCTTACCTGGCGTGCTCGCTTGACCAGCTTAACACTGGGCCATTGCTTCAACAAAAGCTTGGAACGCTTGACATTCTCTGAGACTTTGCAGAAGTTGATCTTCGGCGACTTGATGAGCTAAGGAAAGTCAGGAAGCTTTGTGTGGCTCATATTACTCATATATAGTTATACGAATTATATATATATATACAGTATACATATCATGTTTGCCCCCAAACGGGTTTGGATCTTCCAGAGACAAAAGCTGACCGACTGCTGCATGGACTGCGTGGCCTCCACATCCAACCATGGAGCTCTTAGCAAGTGATCAACGATCCATCGTCACTTCGGGGTTGACCCTGGTTTGGGGTGAGGTTAGTTTTTCCTAGGGGTGAATCCCCTTTATATGGCCTTAGGCCTTAGGTTTAAATCGTGTAAAAGCTTGGACGGTTCTCATTTTTGAAGGTTCACCATGGTTCACCAGCAGATTTATATATTTCGATGGCACCTACATATACTGTACCTTCATTATGACACCAGGTAGAATCCACATTTTTTTTCATGAAGTTGGTTCCTCATCATTTTCCCTTTCACAAGCCTTGCCTACAGAAACATACATTGGATTTAATTCTCTAGGTTTATAGCTTTTGGCCTCTTTATCCACTTAGGAAATTATGTTAAAACATCCAGAGATCTTCCCAAGTTCTTGGGAATATGGTATAGTTTATAAATTATTGTATTTGTCCCAGTTCCTTAAGCAAATCCAAGTAACTGTTTCCTGTTTGGGGGGCTCTTTGAAGCGCTTTGATGGTTCTCAAGTAAGGCCATGATTGGGACCAGGGTTTGGTGTGTGTGACTTTGCCTGAAAGCCTCAAGAGCTTGACCTTTGGCAGTTTGTTCAATCAGGATCTACAAGGACTGGGTCAGTCGGAGGTGTTTCATCATACCGGTATATCTTGAAAAGTATAGTTGAAGTGTAGCAGTTCCCCCCCAGAGTCACGTAATTGTGTTTTTTGCTCATGTTTTTTGTGTTTCTGGAGCCTTTTCGCGACCTTCTCAGGCTCTCAAGGAAAAGCATCCCTTGAATTCCGTATGAACAAAACAGAATCAGGCACCTCAGGGCCACAGGGGAAAGGCCGAGGATGTGAATGAGGATGTAAAAAACCACGCGGTGGCGGTGGATGTGTGTTTTTTTCCCGATGAAACCTCCCAGCCCAGTGGAGGAGTTCCCTTGCCCAGCGGATTGGAGGAGTTAAACTTTGGAGACTCCTTCAATCGCAGCCTGGAAGGAGTCTCATGGCCTCAAGGTCTGCGGAGGCTCAAGTTCTCCCACTTCTTCAATCAGCGAATCACAGATGTCGCTTGGCCCAGCAGCCTTCAGAGTTTGACCTTTGGCGTAGCCTTCAATCAAAACCTGGAAGAGGTGCTTTTTCCGTGCAGCCTGCAGAATTTGTCCTTGGGCGAACGCTTTGACCAAAGCTTGGAGCAAGTGAATCTGCCCAAGAGCATTCAGACTTTGTCCTTTGGGTCTTCTTTCAATCAGCCCTTGACTGCCGTGACTCTACCAAACAACTTGCAGAGCTTCTCCTTGGGCAGGAACTTCGACCAAAGATTGCACGGAGTGGTCTGGCCCGATGGCTTGCAGAGCATCACCTTGGGCGATGGCTTTCGTCATTTGGAAAGAAACAAGAAGGGTTTTCGGATGCTTTGGGTATTTTTATCCTGGTAGTTTTTAGATCATATGAATCATACATCGTCCTGCATTTCCCACCAGGACAGAAACCCTCGGCTTTGAACACTTGCTTGAACATCCCAGCACAGGATGTTTTTCTACTGTAGAAATTTGCCATCACTCCAGGGAAAAAACCAACGAAGGCCAGGCATGGTTTTCCAGCTTTCCTGTGTTCTTGGCACCTGAAGGGGGGGGATTGCTTGAAAACTCCCAGGTAACCCGCCCCTTCCGTCCCTCGGTGGGGCGGTGCGATGTCTCATGGCCTTTGGAGGGCGAGGCGTCTTCCATGTCTTCCAACGGTTGGAAGATCTGAGGTAGATCGGGGATTCACCTGAGGTGGATTGGGGAGTGTTTGACTTAGTATATCCCAGACACTCCATGTATGGTATATTTACCTACATTGGGGTGGTTTGAGGGGTCAATGTAGGCATATATGACAGACAATGGAGTGTCTGGGTATAACAATACACATCGGATAACTGACCATTCACAAAGAGCATGAGGTGTGGAAAAGAGATTCAGGTCGTCTACCAGGATGGTTTTCAGTTCCTTTTCTACCACCCAGTCAGAGGATGTCGATGGTTCCGGTCGTAGATGTTCCGCGTCGAGTTGCTCGTTCGGCGGACGGGCGAACGAGTCTGTCTAAGCTATGTCTTTGAATCGGTGCGGCTCCACTTCCTCTGTCCAGGTCAGAACTTGGAAGAGGCGGCCTTCCCGTCGAGCCTTCAAAGTCTGACGCTGGCAAGGGCGACGTTGGAAGCCTTGAGCTCAAATTGGCCTTTCAGCTTGAGAAGGCTTGAATGCTCAGGTGTGGCCTTGAGTACTCTCTGAAAAAGAAGCAGAGCGTGGTGCTTTTCTCCGTGGGTCGGACGGCGCCCGTAAGCTGACGCGAGTGAAGAAGGAAGTTTGGGTAAGCTGACAGGAGAAAGATCCTGAGAAGGCAAAGATTTTGCGTTCGGTTTACATTAAGGTTGATGATGGAGCTTGCTGTTGCTTTGGGTCACCTGGAAAATGGGGAAATGTACCAGAAGTGAGAAGAGGAGAATTGCGGAAGTGTTTCTATTTACCAAGAAATTAATTTGTGGAGATCATCTTCCTGGGGCTTGAGTCTGCCACGTTATCGCTTTCGATTTTTTGGGAAGCAGACATATTGGTGGTTGGTGTTTACAAGCATGACACATGAGCCTCACATGTGTCGACCCACACCTCCATACTTCAACCAAAATGTCCAGACCATTGAGGGGACTCCGCATAGTTATATGACAGGTGTGTATATATATATATGACCCCATCCATGTAGGAAACTTATTCAGTCCCAAAGAGCATTTGGGATTCAATAATAACATTTATATAATAACATACTTTGGGATACTTTGGGTTTGTCCGCCCCATGACTCCTATAACAGTCGCACAAGCATCACTGTTTGAGAGATGTTTGCCTGCGACCTACTGTAACCACCGGACCCAACCATCATCATCATCATCATCATCATCATCATCATCATCATCATCATCATCATCATCATCATCATC